TTGCGAAAAACTCTTGAAAAGTCATTTCACAAATAAAACCTCTTACACGGCAGCACACTTACTAACTCATATTAATGTCTTACTTGCCATTTCTTTGACTTCCTGATTTATATTAGTAAATCTAATAGTATCCTAAATACTACCCCGTAAACAAGAAACACCTTAATACAGTATTGTGTAGGCAGTTCACTAGTATCCTTCCTCTCAGACTCACAACAGTTATTTGTGACTTTCCAAACAGATGAAAGCAGTCATGCTGACTTATAAAAACCTAAATTGCTTAGAACCAGCTGATTTAGAGTGCATCGCTCTTTGTGATATCTATGTAATGCAGCAATCAGCAGAGATGCCCATAAAAATATCTTGAACTATTACCAAGAATAACTCAATTTTCTGCAAAATACCATCACCAAATATCCTTCTGTTTAGACATGAAGCAGTCTGATTTTATTGACATCCAGAATATGCTGAGGGGACACATACCAAAAGTTATGTGGCTGAGACAGAGATCAATTTATTAGGAATGACAGGATTTGATAATTGGGGTTGTTAATCAGTAGAAATGTTAAGCTGATTGAATTGCACATTTGGTGCAAATTTGGCATTGATGGAATAGGTAGATTTTGTTTTGCATTTATTTATTAATGAAATCCATCTGCCATTTCAGAAAGAACATTATCCATTTATATAAGAAGAAAAAAACCTCTCACACTTCTCTGTGTCAGTTCACATAGAAGAGAGCACCCTATACATGTTTGTCCTTTTATACAGTAATTGCACTTTCTTTTTCCAGGAGGCAATTTATGTACTTACCACAGGAAGTCATTTCATCTGTTTCATCACCACAGTCATTCTCCCTGTCACACAGCCATGATGTTGGAATACAGCGTCCATTCCCGCAAGAAAACTGGTCAGCCTGACATGTTCTTGCTGTCAAGACAAAACACTCCAAAAATGCAAGGGAAGTGGACTAAATCTGTTAGGTCACTCAGTGCATGTCTGTACACAGAAGCTCTAAGTCCAGAGGGTGTCTGCTGGCCTGGCTACTCATTACAGCTAACCTGACAGCATCGGCCACTTCCTCTGATTTCAGAAAAAAATGAAGTTATCTACAGGACTGTGCCCTAGTCTTCTATTTTACAATTCTTAATTATTTATTTAGCAAATTCGTTTATCAGTTGTACATACAATCATACAAAATCAGGTGATGAAAGAGCATTCGTGCTTGATAAAATTATAATAACGCTACTGCTGAAGTAAACAAAATTCATGGCATAAAAATACCCAGGCTACAACAGGAATCTTAACTCACTCTTTTCTGTGTAACTTGCATTTTGCAACAAACAATCTAATGACCTTCACATTTAGAAAGAAAAGATTAGCGTATGAGTGCAATGTGTCTGGTCACCCTGTTCTTGGAATTTTTCCATTTGAAAGTATCTTGTAACTATTCATTAAAGTAAAGGATAGATGGTCTTTCTTCTGAAGAAATAAAGACCAGCAAAAGAAATTATGCTATGAAACCACAAATCATTTTAGAAGCTAATGAGTTGTAAAATTTGAATAAAAATCTACCTGACATAAAGCCGACACTACTTAAAGTTGTTTTATTCAAGATGTCAGCCCATAAGTGCAAGGTCAGAGACACAGATTTTGATTGTAAATTTAAGCTTTTGAAGTTTGTCTATTCATATGTGAGTTCCCCAATTAAATATATACATATATAAAAAAAAGAATATATCAGAAATTCCAGCAATATTTAAGTTTGTGTATCAGCTTGTATATCTCATGTATCAGGCATTTAATGACTGTTTAGCATAGTCTACTGACCAGCCTTAAATATCAATTCCCCACAAGCAAAGAACAGATTTGGAACTCCTGGATTTATCATAGTGGAATTAGCAAACTATATTGGTCTTGAAATTTCCTTAAACCCAATATACAACCAATAAATTACAAACACAAAACAATTTCCAATGTACTAAGGGGAAATTGAATAAATAATTATACTTTTGTCAGCATAAGATAAAATTTACTACTGAGATGACACTCTTCACAGCATGCTTACAAACAAAATTCTAACTGCTAATAACGATTTAGCAGGGACAACTCTGTACCCAAGCAGTGCTTTGACAGTCAAAGTCTGTCTTTAGCACTTAGATTAAGTGCTAAATTAATTCAGAAAGCACAGTCAAGCACAGGGCTTAAGTAAAATGGAATTTGCATTCCAGCCTTCGTGGCAAGAAAATATGAATTAGTTTAAAGTGGCAATAATCAGATTACTAGCAGCAGACTTGTTCAGTTCAGTTCAAAGCACACTTGAATTGTTTATTGAACTGAAGTTAGAGAAGTATGCACAGTCAAATAAAGTTTTTACCTGCACAGGTTTTATTTGATTCATCTTCATTATTGCCGCAGTCATTAGCTCCATCACAAAGCCATCTCTTGGGAATGCAGCGATTATTCTGGCACTTGAATTGGTCAGCAGGACAACTATGATTGACTGAGGGGATAGGAGGGGAAAAACAAACAAACAAGCAAACAAACAAAAGATTTTCCTTAGGAAATAATCAGAGAAAAGCAGCTGAAAATAATATATTGAATGTATTTCCATGTGATGATTAGTCTTTACTGATAATATATATGTGTTTCACCAGTAGTTATAATTACCATGACAGAGAAATCATTCACCAAACCAGTCTTAAAGGACAGGATAAAATATGTAGCAGGACTTTACAAGTATGGATTAAAAGATGTCTGAAAGACATAGAGAAAGCTCCAGTTCCCAAAGTTTCAACTAAATGTAAGGTTTCACCCTATGTGTTTCACATATATTATAGATCAAACTCTTAAGTTTAGCATCATTTGAGTTATACCAGTTAATACTAGCTGAAAATAAAATCATAACCATCCAACAACTTTGTTTTGGTTTGTGTTTTTTGAACAACAGAAATGGAGATTTACGGCTCAAAACTTCAGAGGAAAAATATTGCATATAAACGATATGCTCGTTTAGTCCTAATAAATCCCATTAACTAATATTTCAATTGTTCATTTCAACATCATTAATTCTGTAACTCTGTAACTCAGAATGCAGATGTCTCGAGCTAGCTGCTTGCTTAGACAAGATGTAGGTTCATGTGTACATGTGTGCTTTTAAACGTATACAAAAAATCTTTCAGCATACGAACTATCATAATTTAAGAGTGTTCACCATTTAGTACCTATGTATCCCCATGCTACCTAGTATCTATTTAATTATTACCAACAGTATGTTTATTCATATCAGCAGTAAATCACTCTAAATGTGATTATAACAAAGCAACACTGACCAGCAACAAACTACTTTTCAATTAGTATTAAACTGAAGTGTAGAAAATACTAAAGATTTTGGTCAAGTATACAAAAAATTCTTCTTTTATATATCACATGTTCAGTAGCTTGTGTAATACAACAAAAGCTTTCTTAGAGAACAGCAGGCTATCTACCTAACTCCATTTCATCCACTTTATGGATTTATTAAAAAAAAATCACTTAGTTTAAAAGGTGGAAATGCTTTTTCAACCCACTAGCATTTATTTGGTGTGAGAAAGATGCGCGGCTCCAGTCCACAGGGCCTGGAACAAGTTTCTCTAATCAAAATCACTGACGGCTCCGTTGCTAGAAGTTGTACCCTCTTCCATGGCAGTTTTCTATGCATAGTGTTTCATGATTCATCTTTCCTAAATTCATTAAATGAGACATAGATTCACCAAATAGTTCTAAAACTTTACTTATGATTAAGATGTAACTACAAGGTTGCACATGTTTGTTTCATACTTGGTCCTTTCTCCAATTAATTTTCTTTAGTGTACTTTAATTCAAATCCTACTCTGCGATAGGTTAGGCTAGGAGTGTGTTGTTTTTTCCACAAGAAAAAACAAAAACACTGGAACTGAAAAGCTGAAAATGAGATTTGAGGTTAGAAGATTTTTTAAAAATTAACAGAGATATGTGTAAAAATGCAAACGTTGGATCCGTCATTTGCTATCAAGTCTACATTTCTCTTCTGTATAAATAAAATACATATAAAAAAATCCTTGAATTCATATATATAAATTGATAGTAATTTAGCCATAGAGATAAAGCAACATGAACAAAAATATTGCAGATAGCAATAGAAAGGCTATTTTACAATAGATTTAAAATAAATATAAATCCTTACTGAATTGCAAATGAAGATGACTTAACATGACCTCTCGTGAATCATTGCATTAATCAGCTTCTAGCAGTCACCATACAATTACTAATTAATGCTAAATAAAAAACAGTATGTCTCCATTTACTCCTGAATCTAATTGCATAGAACAAGACTACAAGTATACATCAAGGCTATCTTTAACTTTAATAAATTAGAATTAACCAAAATTATTTATTTAAAGCATATATTCTACTTAAATATGTTAATTTCTGAGTAACCTATACATAGATGAAGAATGCATCTTTTCCTCAGCAGAAATAACTACCTGTTCCTGAAGGAAATTTGTTATTCTACTTGTCAATTAAGTTAGACTATTTTTAACTTTTTGCACAGATGTAAAATTTGTACTGGTACTGACAAGAGAGTCTACAGAACTGTGGGCTAACAAGATTTTTCAGACACCTTTTCATTTAAAAATAAAGAAGCAAATCTTTACTAACATAATTTTTTTTTAACTACTCAAGATAATAAGACCATATTGATCTGAACTACCCGAAGGCCTGACCAAAACTCAAAATTTGATCCCAGTGGTTGTATCTTTGGAGTGTTAAGTATCTGAATACTCAGAATGACAGGTAGAAAGATATTTTCAGCATGTACACAGAATGCATATTTGATTTCCATTCATTCAAAACCATGCCACTTTATATATGTTTATTAGCAGGAAATATATGCATGAGAAAAGGAAGGCAGAATTTTTAAAGGGGGGGAAAAAAAGAGATAAATATTAGTATTGGTATGAATCAGAATGTGGGTGTGTAAGCACAAAGAAACACGCAAGTGCCATAGGTGATGGCACTCATGGCACTCCCAGCACATTTATATGCAGCTTCTAAAAAATCCAGATCAGGAAAGTAAAGGACAGTCTAAAACAAGGTTATACAAAGCGCAGACTGAAGTCATAGAGTGTTGACACCGAGAAGATAAAAAGCAGGCTTGGTACTGCAAGACATCCAAATAAAGTGACAGAAGACAATCAGCATCAGATCCGGAAGGGCAAGAGAAGAAACATTCAAGCATGAGCATATGGTTGAGCAAGCTAAATTTAGAAAGACCCAGAAAAAAACGACGAGGGTTCAATTGTCAGCATCACTTGTCCTCCACATCACTTGCAAATACTACTGGAGAATGATACTCGAATTTGAAAATGTGTGTGAGTGAGATCAGTTCTGGTTTAAAAGAATAACGACCTTCCCCTCATATAGAGTCTAGCATTAAAATCTATTATGCAAGTAGAGTGTTGGTGCTAAAACACTGCTATTTCCTTAAAAAAGCCATTATTTTTCTAAATATAAGATGAAGTAAACAGATAAACAAAATAAAATAAAATAACAAAGGGATTAGAGATACAGGTTGCTAAGTGCTCAACCAAAATGTTATATGGCAATGAACAAAGAACTGCAGAATTGGTATGTTTCTAAAACTCACTGAAAACGAAATGCTGAAGAAAAATATATGAATTGCAAACAGAAAAAAAAATCAAGAATATTTACCAGAGATAACACAAGCATTTACTCACAGTATGCATTCAAGTTTGCCTAAAATACATATAATTCAGGTAACATTAAGTCCTCCAGGTCTGGCAGAAAATGCTTGAATTTATATGGAAGTATTTTCTACAGACAATAACAAGGCACTGTAAGTTACTGTGTTTTTAGTCAAACTTTAATAATCTGGGTTGTTTAACTTATGAGAGTGTCAGTTAAATGATACCGTGTTTCCAAGGCACCTTAAGAGACCCTAAGAAGATAAGCAGTGCATTACTAGCATTGTGTCAGATTCATTTCCACTATCAGAAGACATGCAGATATTGTCTTTCTGAAAAACAGTTTAGGATTTTTGAGAGGCAAATCACCTTCTCTGCAAGCCTATCTGGTCCCACATACCACCTCTACAAAAGAGAAAAAAAACGAGTGAAACTTTAAGGCATCTTTGGATCTTGCACTCTGTTTTCTTGGACTGTCTTTAAGATGTCAATGCCAACGATCAACGAAGTATTTAATAACATTATGCTCAGTAATTGCCTGTTGTGCAGCTAAATCTATTGTCTTCATTTTGCAAGCAATAACACTGTCACTGTGCAGGTGACATCAAATTACAGGACTAGTTGCTACACATGAGAACACAGCTGCCATTCAGAGGGACCTAGACAGGCTGGAGGAATTGGAATCTTAGGAAATTCAACAAGAAAAAAGGAAAATAATCCCCATGATACAGGAAGGTGCTGGCTCTGCGGAAAAGGACCCAGGGGTCTTGGTTGAGAGGAAGCTGAACAAGGGCCAACAGTGTGCGCTGGCAGGAAAGAAGGCCGGCAGTACCCCTGTTGGGTGACTAGCACATGAATTTTCTCCAGATTATTTCTTTTGTCTGACTTCACTCAGACTTAATATCTAACATAGACTTCGATTATCAGAATCACCATTTTAAAAACAAATTATGAGTTATGGTTTAAAATGTAAAGAGTACATACAGCAAGCATCTGCATGTTCGTCACTGCCATCCAGACAGTCGTCATCTCCATCACAGCGCCAGCGATCCTGGATGCAGCGCTTGTTGTTACACTGAAACTGCTCAGGTTTGCACAGCTGTGGTAGCACTTCCCCAGGTTTAACTAAGAAAAACATCCAAGAAGCCCAAATGTTTTATCAGTTTGATAGACACAAAATGTAATATTACATTAACAGATGCAAATTCTTTTGCTATCAATCTTCTGAATACCTTGTGGTAAACTTCTTATATTTAAAGTAATTCTATCTGTAGCAGCACGCACATCCAAGTGTATCGTTAAGGGAATGTATTTTTAATAAAACTCAAATCAGAATGCCACTCAAAATGTTGTTTAAACTCATGCTCAGACAGCAAACACTAGAAACGTTAGTTTAAAGTAATTGTAATAGCTCGTTGACAAAGAATGGAAAACATTTTTACAGACATAAACCAAATTCTGATGTTAGTTAAAGAGCCAGGAAATGATTGCTGCAAAGTTGATTCCTGGATCCAAGTAACAACTCATAACCACCTTGATTATGCACTGGTACAGATTCAGAAGAAGAGAAAGGATTCAATCTACTCAGGTAGATTTAAATAGCAAGGTACAAGTTCATAGATAAATCCAGGCAGATACATTCCTCAACACAACATTCATAATGTTTCATGTGCAAATACAACCCATCAGTCTATAACCCCATCAGGAAATTGGAGGAAAATTTTGGAAAAAGCTGAGCATTGAAGTGCAGGAAACAGGCTTCATTCAGATCTGAAAATATCTAACCTAGTTTCCTAATGCTTACCAGCACAAAGTCCACTTTCCAGAATTCTATGCTAAAAATAAATAGGTGTCTTTGGTAGCTGTGACAGATCTGCAAGGTGTGCATTTGGGTAAAGCTCTCCACGATTGTGAAGTCAATAATGCTCAACACATTATGAAATAATCCGTTCACTTTACTCAGCGCTCTGACAGCTATAGCTGGACACTGATCCAAGCATCCAAGAAGATACTTGTTATGTTATGATACTTGTTATGTTAACTTGATATCCAAGTTTTAGACATGGCACTGAAGAAACATGTGAATCAATGAGAATAAATTATAAATATGAAGTCTAAATATTTAGAAAGTTACCCATATTAAATATATTTTCTGGTGAGTTATTACTTTTAATTGAAACATCTCACATGTTGTTATGAACACAAAGAACTTTTACCTGTGTTTCAATGAAGACATGAAGGAAGAGATGTGAGAAAGTAAATGCAAGATTTAAATAATCTATGTCAGGAGTATATATAAGAATATGTTTGACATGTTTTATGAACAACTTCAGCACAACCACTTGCTATGCCAGATTTCTATTTAAAATATTTAATCCATGTAGTCCATGTAGTATTCTGAAACCAGTTAATATGGGTTTTTTGACATATCTGATATTCTATAAAATACAAACGAGTCCTGTGATGTATTTCAATGTTTTATAGTATCAGACATCATGAAATGTTTTCCAATACATTTCCATTCTCAATACTATATACTTAACATTTTGTCTTTTTAAAATCTTTACTACATTTACCAATATGTCTTCAACAAGAAAATTTATTCAAAGAATAGTTGTTTCTCCTACAGAACTGCCTCGAGCAGGATTCTTTTTTTGTTTTATTTCAGATCTAACTTTATCCCTTAAAAGTAATACCAATCTCGATATTCATTACAAAGTCTTACTCATGCAGGTTGTGCTGTTTTCCTCCAAAAGCTGATTATCAGCACAGGCACAAACTCTGCCTCCAGGAATGGCTAAACAAAGAGCGCTGCAGCCTCCATTATTAACACGACAAGCATTATCACCTGTAAAAGTGAAAGAACAACTTTAAAACCAACACACATAAAAGGGCAGAGGCATAAACAAGACACTATCCAAATGCGAGGGTGAAGACACTGAAAATGCAGCTAAACGTTATGTACAGGAACAAAGTTATCTGTGAATATGTTCTCTAAATCTTAAAAAACCACTATTTTAATAAACTGTCCATTTCAGCTGAGCAAAGCATATATTAGAGTTGTATCTATAGTAAGTGACATTCCTACAAATGGTGACTTTTACTTTGTTTTTATTTCACATACGACACTAAATATAACAATACTGCCATCACCTAACCATCTCAAATTTCGTATAAGAATTGGAAATTGTTCTACATGTGCAAAATGATAACCTAATAGGCCTGATGGTTGAGATCTGACTCTGCATAAGAGCAGCAGGTACTCTCAGCAGAGCAAGTTGCATGGTGCTAATGAATACTTCAGATAGTGAAGAAAAGTACAAAAAGGGAAAGACAGGCAGTATCTATGATCTTTCTTGAGAAAAGGTAAATTCAATATTATCTTTTATGTACATAAGCCAGTGCATACATATACTATCTGTTGTATCTTATACTTTCTCAATATCTCTTTCTCACACAAGGAAAGTGGTAATAAAGATAGTGTAAACACACATAAAAATGCAATTCGGTATAATATTATTACAATTCATATTTAATAAGTATGATCAACTTCAATATCAATAGACAGAAGCCCTGAAAAGCATCTTTGTCATACTAAAATCCATACATTTTTTCAGATAGTATTCTCAAAAATATAGGCAAAATTGAGATATAATATCCTTTTTAAATAGACCTTTGGAGAAAGGATATCTTCTTAATACCTTGCTGCTTACGTGGATCATAAATCTGGAGCCCAAACAAAGGTGGTCTCTCACTTCTCAGCAGTGTCACATTCCTTGTAAGCAGATCCAACTGGAAAATAGACCCATTCATATAATCTGTCCAGTAAATATAGTTGCCATGATGCGAAAGTCCAAATGGGTGATTCAAATCTTTTCCATTGTAGACTACCTGCAATTAGTGTTAAATGAGTATTGTCGAGTTAAAGTGATTATTAATTTTTAGTACTGTGCATTTCAAAAAGCATGAAATAGGGGAAAAAAAACTGAGAGAAGTACTTGTCTCTAAACATGCAGACTTCAAGCAATAAAAGCAAAGAAAGATTGGAAAATTATGTTATTTACCACCATCAATAGCTTCAGAACATCTTATATATTCGTATTAAGTGGCCCTTGTCAGATTACGCACAGGATGCTAATAACTATGCAAGCGTTTTGTTCAGTAAATATCTACCTTTTTTTCCTAGGGATGGGGAAGGATGTTTACATAAATTTACATATCCCTCTCTCTCTCTCAAAAAAAAAGTGCAGTTTCTGTAAAAGCAGACTAGCTCTTAGAGCAAGCTAGGAAAGCCATCGCTAACAACTAAAACAGTATCTCTCTTCATTATTGCCTGGACTTTGCTGAGTGCTTCCCCGCTGCACATCACAACCCGCGCTCAAAGACTGCCTTGAGGTTCACAGGAAGCACCTAAACAGTTAAGCTAATAAAGGCTCTTTGTGGCAGAACCAAAGGAATGTGTTAAGTTTCTTTCTATGCTTTGTAGCTTGGTGGCTCAGACAAAATGCAACTCATTGACACACGAGAAAAACATTTAGAAAATAGCAACAAAAACCCTTCTTTGTCAGTCTCTAAAGTCAAGATAAAAATTTTAACCTATACCATGTTCTCCTGAGGGAAATTTTAATATATACTATGTTCTCTTTTCAACGAGGTGACACTGGACATGCAGTGGGTTACTCAGCCTTTAAAAAAATGTAAAAGTATTTTTAACATAACACAATGAAGTTCAGAGAAAGAGCGTGCCTGTGGCAAAACAGCAGTCTTTCTTTTACCTTTCTGTCAGTTCCATTCAAAAAAATCCTTTCAATGTGATCATAATAGGCATCACACCAGTATAATACATTGGCATTACAGTCCAGAGTTAGACCATTTGGCCACAGCATCTTTGATGTTACAAATATCTGCCGATTGTTGCCATCCATCCATGCCTTCTCAATTCTTCCCACGCTGTCATCTATTTCATCTTCTTCCCAGTCTGTCCAATACATCCAGCTAGGAAATTATAAAAATGAGCATTTAGGTAGCACTTTAACCACATGAGTTACATCCTAAGCCTGTAAGAAATTTTGCAGTCCACAAGTACAACTCTTTTTTGCATGTTTCTTTCCACTGCTATTTTAAAAATGGATTGCTCTTTGTAACATGAGAAAAATACTTTTTTTGTTAAATGTCCTTTCAGTAGCACTTGTTAACTGTAACTTGTTAACTAACTCTTTTTTGCATGTTTCTTTCCACTGCTATTTTAAAAATGGATTGCTGTTTGTAACATGAGAAAAATACTTTTTTTGTTAAATGTCCTTTCAGTAGCGCTCAGTATAGATGTAATGAATTATATGAATACCAAATGGGTTAACTGACATGAGAAGTGAACAAATTATTCAAGCTCTTGCTTAATCGTAACAAAATTATGATTTTTTTTTTCTTTTTAAACCAACAACTATTGACTTTGTCCCAGATTTCAAACTTGTAACTGGTATTTTTTTGGCTGAGTCTAATTTTCCTTTACGATGCAAATCTGTTTTTTTTATTATACTTAGTACCAAAACAGCTTCAATTCATGAATTAATTGCACTCCAGTTTAATAACTACAAGTTGACCTTGACATTCTGAAAACTTCACATCCCATTTGTGAGTTGCAAAGCAGCCAAATTACTCAAAAATTATTATGTGCAGAATGTGCCTTACAAAAATATTTAGAAAGAGAAATATCTAGAGAAAATACTGGAAAAACAACTAGTAGGCAGTTTTGGCATATCACATGCATGAGTTTTATGGTACACAGTGGAACAGTGTATATAACTCCACATTTCTTCTACTGTTTCTTTCCTTTTTTAATGAATTTGATTTTAAGCTCTTATTACAAAATTTGCTGGTGACAACTGTGATTCCAGTGATTTAAAACACACAATTCTAACTTACAAGAAAACTGAAAGTGGCAAACATGCTAGGTTCACGTGATGCACAGCAACATGAACATGTTAAAAATATCTAACTATGGAAAAGGGTTATTTACTTTTAAGCCCAAACCTAGAATTTGGAATTTTAAGCCTTCAATAAAAGAAAAGCATCATATGGATCTTAAACATGTTATTCTTCTTATGAATATTAAAGGTGGCTTATATCATGGCTTAACTGGAATTTGCATGTCTTTGATTTCACTGGATTTATACTTCTAAAATTCTACAAACTTTCTGATATAAATTGTCTTATCTTTATCCATTTAACCTGTCTGTACAAGTGAAGTATGGGAATTTTAATTCTAAGAGTCCGCAAATTTCTCCAAAGAATATGAAATGCTTCAGTGAAAAATATGTTTGCTATCACATCCATCCAGATTAGAACATGGTCATATAAATGATGCCAAACCTGCTGGTCAAGAATTTTATTCAGTACACTTTTATATATAACCATTATTTGATCAATTTGATTTTTATACAACACATTATAGCATACAAAAAAAAGATTGCATTATTACTACACAGGTCTACAGATATGCACATGCAGCATTTGTTTCTTTTTAAATCTCTTTCAAGTCATATCATTTTTTCTTCATCTTTGTAGATATACATTAAGAACGTCAAGCAGTTTTCCATCCATGAAATTTATGCACTTCATTGTATGGTTGACTCAAAAAAAATCTGGGTTTAATCACAAAGTTAGAAAACTTATTGCTTCTATAAATGCAAGCAAAGACCCAGGTCAGTATGCTACTTATTTTATTGGAATTAAGAATATGTTTTACAAATATTTACATGATTTTTATAGAGCAATTAAGGAGCTTTTTTTCCATTAATTTTTTGTCTATCCTTATTCTAGGTACCAGGTTGTTTATTAAAATATGCTTAAACTAATGAACATTAACATTAATATGTTTTAATTGTATCTCAGAAGGCATTTAGTGTTTCTACACTGGTTATATCTCAAGACTAATATTTTCTAAACATAATTAAAATGGCATAATAAATGCTCTCCTAGAGATAAAGCTTCCATGAGTAGTATAACCATGAAGGAAATACTTTATGAGAAAAGTGTTTTATATAACAATCTTTTTCAGAAAATATATCTTTATAAACTTTTTATGCTGCATGTTTGCTGAGCTGAAAAAATTAACAGAATAATTGTAGGTATGGCTATGGTTTGTGGTCTGATTTTACATTCCTGTTGTCCAACCTTATAATTAAGCCTTTCCACTTTCACTTCCATTCCTCAAAGGACAGATTCAAAAGTGAAAAGCTGAGAGTATAAATACAGCAAAAACACTAATCATCAGTCCAGCCATACTAGAATTACCTACCTATGCCTTCTGGTAATAATTCCCTGAAGAAACAGATACCAGTGAATTTTTAGACCTACCGTAGTTGCACCAGACTAATATCATATTCTTATTATGTGGCCTATCACAATTAATTATGTGAGAAATGAAAAGGAACTGTCTTGTTTAGATTTTGCAAACTAAAGTGTACAAGTGCATCTTTATAATTATCTTGAGAAATAGAGCATTATGGAGAGAGAAATAACAGGGAACACTGTAAAGTTTACAGTTAACATTAAACATTTTAACATAGAAATAGGAACAGGGCTGATTCGCCTTTTGCTGTAACAAACTGTGCATCACATTCAAATTAACGTGACACAGACCAGTATCTTGGCATATTCATTATGATTTCAGGAAGAATATTGGTTTATAGAATTACAGGTAGACTTCTACTTGGACCTAAACATCCAGGCCAAGCAAAATTAAATCCTGTATTTATTTATAGTATAAAAACATGCATAGTGTGTCGATGTCTTCTCCAAAATAACCACCAATATGACAAGAGGAAATGGCCTCAAGTTGCGCCAGGAAAGATTCTGGTTAGATATTAGGATAAATTTCTACGTGGAAAGAGTAGTCAAGCATTGGAACAGGTTGCCCAGGGAAAGGGTGGAGTCCTTGTCCCTGGCAGTGTTCAAAAAATGTGCAGATGAGGTGCTTAGGGACAAGCATAGCTGTGATGGGTTTACGGTTGGACTTGATGATCTTAAGGTCTTTTCCTATCATAATGATTCTACGATGAAAAAAAAAAAAAAAAAAAAATCTACTTCATACCCATTGACAGGATCAACAACAATTCCTCTTGGATGGGACATGTCTCCCTCCAACAACGTTTTTCGACTTTGAGTGGCCTTTTCCAACCTGGCGACAGTGATCGTTTTCCTGTGGCCATCATTTGTCCAGTACAGGTTATTTCCAATCCAATCCACTGCTATGCCTTCCACATTATCGAGGTCTGTTAAAAAAGAACAAAAGAAAAAAAAAAAAAAAAAAAAAAAGACAGTAAGAAGAGATTATGTTCATGTTGCAACACTACTCTTTAGTGTCAACAACGGAGAATGTGAGGCAAGTATAGCTAAGTTAAATTATTTTCTTGAATTCAAACTATATATGTTGGAATATGATGTCAAAATTTGCTGTGTTTTTCAGAATTTTTCTTTGATGAAAACACCTGCAAATCATAAAGACTGATCATAAAACTTGCATACGAAGCTGTAGATCTTCATGGAAACTGTAGATCTTCCATCACCATGGAACAAAATCATACTTAATTTTAACCCAAAATAACAGCGTTACCCAAGTCAAAAATAGTTTTGAAGACCTGCTCTCTGTATAACTCTAAATTACTCTGTTCCTAAATTTCTTGGTTTCTCCCCAAACCTCAAATACAACTCATGTTAAAAAACAAATAAGCAAAATATACATATATAAAAGTATTTGCGTATGCTTGCACAACTATATTTGCAATACTCCTGCTGGACACAGCCCTTGGTCCACCATGCACCAAAACGGGTCAACCACGTCCGTTTGATACAACATGGGCACCTGCACAGTGCGTGAGTCTCCGAGCTTGCCCAAAAGCTGCTACCGGAGCAGCCGGCCCGCTGTCCCGCTCCTCTCCCGCAGGCCGTGCTCCCCACCGGGCATCTCCCTGCCATCCCGGGGTTTCTTTGCACTGCCACCATGACTGCAGTTGAGCCATGCACAATGGTCTCCCCTCCACCTCAGGGCCGGCTGGAACCGGTTCCACCTGGTCCTGACCGGTTCTGGCCAGCTCGGTCTGTGGGAGCTGCCCTACCCGCCCCTCACAAGCCCTGGGTTTGTGTGGAAATCAACACCTCAAATCCAGCGGCACATGGATCCCCTGGCCTCTACCTTGCCCTACACCCCGGCCCCAATCCCTTCCGGAGGGAAAGGAAACGTGTCCTCTGCATGGTGGAAATTCCCATTTTATTGACATACTCTTTGATGCCGTAGCACACTTATTGGAGTCTTTGCGCCGAATGTTATCCAGCCTTTGTAAAAATATTTATGCTTTTTAGTACCATTGGAAAGTTCTCTCTCCACTCGGCATCTTAACTAATAATACTGGCTCCTGCTGTTCTATTAAGCCAAGTCCTTGGGTAAAAAACACGACTTTCTTGGTAACTGAAGAAGCCCGTGCCAGAACTGGCACGTGTACCTGGATATTCATACTTAAAAAAAAAAAAGATGATAATTTATCCTTCATTCGTATTTGCATCACCTCCTTACTTCTGTTTTCGATTAGGGTCTTTCTCCATCTTGTAATGACATAATAATGCATGTCCTACCTATTTTTCCCAGGTCTTTTCTTTTTTTATTAAAATAAAAAATGATCAAGTAACAATGTAATAGAGCCAGCTTTTGTGTTCCTACCAAGCCGGGGCCTCAGGATTCACAAGACCCATCTGAATTGCGATGCTCCCCTGTACTTCCATAACAAGGAAGGTCAGAGTGGCTGAAGAGTTAGAAAAATAAGAAAGTCCTCATTACTCTGGTGCTACTTGAAAATGCAGGTGTATTACTTGTTTGCAAGATGCACAATACTACTAAGGTGCAATTTCAGTGAGGAGAATCATCAAGATCTGAAAAAGGGAATGTAAATTACTTTTGCTGTTCATATTTATGCAGGATTCTGTGCCTAGACTCCAACTTTCATCAGATTATTTCTTCCTCACTAGTGTTAGCATCACTTTCTAATCAAGAGCAAAGTATCTTGAAATGCTTTGTTAGAATAAACATGATACAGGGAGACTTTTATCACAGTAAAGATCAAAAATTCATTAATGCATTGCCATTTTTATTCAAATACTGATGTGACAAAACTCACTGATCCTGCTCAAATTCTGCTTATGCCAGATACGCATTTAAAATTGGCTAAATTGAATATACCTGCTTACTATTTAAATTGTGCGGTACAAATATCATGTAATTTAACTCAGTTTTCTTGCCAAGAGTTTCACAATAACTTCTGCAGTTCTAGTTTGGGACATGTCAAAATGTTCATTTTAATAGTTTACTGCAATAGCACTGCGCCACGTCGCTATACTGCAGTAGTTTAAAATCTCAGTCAGATCTCCCCACAATACAACCAGTAAGTCTTACTAAGATTTGTAACTTCTGCACACCTATATCTTTTTTTTTATATATATATATATACATTAGTATATCAGCTAATAATATATCTTGCTCCCCACAAAAAAAAAAAAAAAAAGAAAAAAAAGAAAAAATTTTCATGATGGATTGGAATGAAAAGCTCTCCTACTGAGTCACAATATACATAACTTACTTAATGCAGCACAAAAAAACTTTTGGCTTACTACAACCCTTAGATAACGTATGGTATGTCACCAGCAATACACAAAGATAAAATATGACAGTTTTACCCAATAAGTGAAACATTGAACTTCTTTTTATACACTTGGATGCAATAACAGCCTCTGTTAAAGGTGCTGTTACAATCTCAGTAGCATTGAGCATTGTAGCATGATAAATTACTTCATGGCCTTTTTGCTGAACTATGTTTTACAGTGGTTTACAAAACCATCGTATTTCCTATCAAGTTAATAGAACTATAATGTCTGCCATTGCAAAATGTTTCATTTTTTTTTCCTGTTCTTTTATAACTATTTCCTTTAAAGAAAAAAACATAGCAGAATGGATTTAATATATAAGGTTGAAATATACTAAAATTATGATACAGACCCACAGAGTAATCCAAACTTCAAAAATGACAAGAATCCATCATATCTATAATTCACCCTACTAAGCCATTTATTTCAGTACTTATATTTTCACTTTTTAAAACAGAAAATCTAAAGCAGCTCAGGTTGCTTTGGGCTAATGAAGGTCCTATGATAACAACTAATTAATTTTTTTAAAAACTGCTTTTCCTCCCACAACTATCATCTCTTTGGACACAATGGCAGTAGGTAAACAGCATCTCTTAACAGAGAGAAACATACAGAGGAGATGATTCATTTTTACTCTCAAAGTAAGGAAGTTTTTGCTACTACCATAGAATTTGCCAGGTCAAAGCTGCTCCACAAGATCAAATTCTGTTTAATACTCTTTAAAATGCCATTTGGTAAGAAAAAAATAACACTTACAAATCTGGAAATCCTACCAGAATTTTACAATCAACAATAATATGTGCCATCCATGTACCTACATCAATATCCATATCTTTATACATATCTATTATTGCATCCATATCAATTTCTGTCTCTGGTGAAATTAAACCACTATCGCAGTTTTGCTGCCAATTTTGAGATAAGTCTTACCAGGGGCTTTCAAATAGTTCCCAATACTACACAGCAGTTTATTACCAGAAGTGAAGAATAAGAAATCACAGCTGAAACTACAGGAGAAATCAAAGTCCAGCAGTGTGAGGTGCTCAGCGCACTCAGTCCCCAGTCACCAGCTTCCAGGCCCAGGCTCTCCTGTGGGCAGACTGTAATTATCGGAGCTGTGGTGGTGTTTGAGCTAGCAGATCTGCTCTTACAAAATGTGTTAGTAACAACTAAGTGACAACTTCTAATCTAAGTGACACCTATCGCAGATTGAGCTCCTTAGCAGCGTGCTGTTCAGAGCAAATATAAACCACCTCCTGACACACCTGGTTTTCTCTAGTAGCCCTCCACAAAGGACTGATTTAATCTGTCCCTGCTGAGTTCTTGAGAGCCGACAATAAAAGCTGAGGTGGTATGGCTGGAGGCCTTATTAATTTTTTAAATCATGAAAAATACATTAACAAGTGTTTTTTAAATGCACTTTAAAGTTATGAGACTATATCAAGTTGAATGTACAGCACGTAAGCTCCTGGGGAAAGACTGAGGGAGATACACAGTGATATATACTTTTTTTTGTAAATATTATGTCCAACAATGATAGATCACAGAGGAACCAAACATCAAAACATCCCCATAGCACTGCAAATACTGCAGATACTGTCTCTGCGATGGTTGGACTGAAGCATGGGAAATGACTGTTAACAATGACAGCGAATAAAAATCCCTGTTTTAAGCAATGCTATTATATATTTCAGTTACTTTTATTACCTCAAGCTTGAACTAGCAAATAATAATTGAGCTCTCTGAAGGCCCAGACAGATATTCATACTGCTTTCTCTTGAGCACAAGAAAATTATGACTGTAAAAGGCTGCCAGCTGAGGCAGTGGCTTCCTCCTTCTGGAGCA